GGCGGCCATCTAGCCTCCGTCACACATCGCACTCAGGAGGTTACACTCATTATTTCGGGAAATCACTCTGAGAAAATCAGTTTGTTGGTATTCAAAGCCCCCCACACCCCACTGGTACTGGGATTTCCTTGGCTCCAACATCACAACCCCCAAATCGACTGGGCCAAAAGGTGTGTAACTGGCTGGAGCACGCAGTGTCATGAACAATGTTTACTTGCCGCTGTCCCGGACAATCCTGGGACCGCCTCTGCGAAAGGCTCCTCACCCCCCGACCTTTCCTTGGTGCCCGCCGACTACCACGACCTCGGCCAGGTATTCAGCAAAAGTAAGGCGTTGTCTTTGAAACTATTTCTGCATCGGTCACATGTTTTCTTTCTGCTTTTTTGCAAATAATAACTTCACATTATTATTTGCTGCTAGCATGTTGTAATGCAGCCTTCAGTAATAGTAATAAATTACACAGCAGTAGTTCATTGGAGATACTGAAGTGGCAGATAACCCAGTTAGCTACCACAACTAAAACAAGCTAGCTGCAGCAGGCTAACGTTAGTTTACAGCCTAATAGAAAACTGTTTTGATCTCTTCCTTAATAACAGCTGTACCGGGGGAGAAGGTTTTTATAAACCCATTAAGGCTTAAAGCATTATTAGGGGCGTGGTCTCTTTGACTGACAGGATGGCAACACAGACGACTGTAGCTGCTACCCGTCTGCAGGAGGAGACGGAGGTGATCGAGCCCAACCCGGAAAGTGTGACAGTGTCGCTCCACCAGAAGGCTGACTGATCAAACATGTCCAGAGCTCCAGTCAGTGAATAAAGTTTTTCTGTTCCTGACCACAACCGTGACAGAGCCTAATTACGTCGGAGGTTTCTTCCTGTTAAAGGGAGTTTTTCCTTCCCACTGTCGCCAAACCTCTTCCTCACAGGGGCGTCTGATTGTTGGCGTCTGATTGTTGGCGTCTGATTGTTGGGGTTTTGTCTTTATTATCGTTGGGCCTTTACAATGTAAAGTGCTTCGAGGTGACTGCTGCTGTTATTTGGTGCTTTATGAATAAAACTGAATGAGCTGAGCTGCTGTTGCTGATTCACACTCCTAAAAGGAATTCAGCGAGTGATTCAACAGCTTAAATTTAAATTTAGTATCTGCTGACTGGTTACACTGACCATGAATAACATCACTGTAAACATCACCACAGTGCGGCAAACCGACCACTTTAGCATTAAACTACATGTATTTTCATGGAGCCCTTTAATAACTCAGAGATAGTGTACATGAAAATGTTTAGCAGGATGTTTCACAATGTGAAACAACAACAGGATGCAGCACGTGTAGATCCAGTGTGTTCACAAAACTCTAAAAGACAGACATGTCAGCTTTAAATATAATGAAGCTTCTTGCAGTCCAAACATAACCTCTGTTCTTCCTCTCATGTCCTCTTTCTCACGTCGCTCTCCGAGTGTTCTCAGTCTGCTCCGAGTGTTAAAAGAATCTGTGAAAACTTTAAACATGAACAGAACCTGCTCTGCACCAGCTGATGGGCAAAGCATGAGTTACCATGGCGATCTAACAAATCACAACATGCAAAACACAAACAGGTCATCAGCAACATGTGGCTGCTGTACTCCATGCTGTTTTACTGTTTAGAGTTAGATGCCACGCTAAAACCTCACATCCTGTGTCTGCAGAGCAAACAGATACACAGTTTTACCTGCAGAGCTGGGGTCCGTTCTTCGTACGTCGCTTACTACATCCAAGACCAAACCATCGCGCTAACCGTGAGCTCGCTAATCCGGTTCCCCGAACACACCTGCTGTTGACGATTAGTACAGCTGGACGCAGTAATGTGACATCACTGGGTGTCGTAAAAGGGGCTACGCATCGATAGTAGAAACATTGATCGGCAACCCGCTGATTGGTCGGCGAAAATGTCGAAGGGGCGTGCTCGGTATTTTCCGGCAGCAGAGCAAGAACTCATGAGTGAGGGATTTCAGGAGTTTCAGAGTTTAATTAAAACGCAAGAGAACACTGCAAAGGCTGCAAAAGCAAGGAGAGAGGGCTGGCAGAAAGTTGCTGACAAATCAAACTCGTAGGTAATTTAATAATAATAATAATAATGGATTGGGTTTATATAGCGCTTTCCAAGGCACCCAAAGCGCTTTACGATACCACTATTCATTCACTCCCACATTCACACACTGGTGGAGGCAGCTACGGTTGTAGCCAGGCTGCCATATCGCGCCATCGGCCCCTCTGGCCAACACCAGTAGGCGGTAGGGTAGATCTATCATATGACACTATATTGTCCAATATCATATGGCATTATATTATATCATAATATGTTATATTATATCCCCTTTCACATTAGAGCCACAACAGGACCCACAAGAACATGGGAACAAGTAAAAGTGGAATACAGGAGTATTCTACAGAATGGTAATATTTATCTCTTAGATTGCTTTTCGTCTCTTGGCAAGGTAATACTGGCCTGTAATACTCTGTTAGTTTGTTCATAACAGCAACCAAGAAAAGGGCAGAGGAAAAAAGACAGGTGGTGGTCCTGCACCCCCTCGTCAACAAGTTGGTTAAGTAGAATAATACCCTCACGGGAATATCGATATCTCTCTATGAGCACACTGTCGCGCTGAGCTAAAGGATCCTGTCTGTCCCGCAATATACGCTGAATTCTGAGGACTCTCCTTATCAATCTTGCACCTTCCGCAATGGGTTGCTCGCGTATACGGACAGGACATGGCTGCGACAGGCTTCCCAAATCCACCTTCGCTTTTATAGCCGTGGTCTCTCATCTTGATTACACGAAGTAATTTACAATTACTACTCTGAAATATGAATTACATCTGTAATAATCACATACATGTAATAGAATGTTAATAGTCATTTCCCTTTTTTAGGAAATGACCTGTATGTATCTGTGTGAATCAATAAAGGATCAGTGCTGCATTATCTTTAGTTACATTGATGTTATTTATTTATGGTGAAACAGTGGTGGAATATCGCTGTTGCTTTCGTATAAATGAAGCGGACATACCTGCGTGGCCGCGATCTAATCCTGTTTACATAAAGTAAACCTGCTCCCGAGCAGGTTTACGCTTACGGCTCTGTTGCTATGACAGCAAGTCCCGGATGAGCTTCGGGGAACCGAACGATCCAGGATCACGCGAAATCGTCAACAATCTAATCCAGCTAACTTACTTAGCGAGGTACGAAGAACAGGGCCCCAGAGCTGCAAAGGTCGCGCTAACATGACACACAGCAAAGAGCACATGTTTCACAGGGAGGGCGGCAACAGAGGGAAGGATCAGCACAGTCAGCTGGGGTCGTCACAGAAACACTTCACACAGAAGAAACCCGCTGATTGGACGTGATACAGCAGCTCGTACACTCACAGTGTGAGGGATGCATTGAACTCTGGTCCAGGGATACTTCAACAACACGACTGGAATACTCGGGGATCAACCCACCGACTCTTCAACAACCCGCTCCACCTCCTGAGCCACAGCCGCCCAAAACACCGAAAGATCACCATTATCTAACAATGCCAACGTGAAGTTGATCCAAACTGACGGTGATAATTATCTGTAGTTTCAGTTATATTGTATTCATAAATTATATTTTGTAAACAAGTTCCTGCTAATTCAGTTCACTTTTATTTATATAGTGCAAAATCACAACAGTCTCCCCAGGGCACTTTATACTGTGAGGTAAAGACCCGACAGTAATACAGAGGAAACCACAACAATCAGATGACCCTGTGTGAGCAAGCGCTTTGGTGACAGTGGGAAGGAAGAACTCTGTTTTAACAGGAAGAAACCTCCAACGTAATAAGGCTCAGGGAGGGGCGGGGCCACGACCGCTTGTGGGTAGGATTATGTGGATTTGTTTAATGAAAGAAAACCTAAAACCACCCTTCAGTTTTCCTTCGCCCCGTCTTCCTCCCCTCACCCAGCTGGGGGTGAGGGGAGGAACCACGCCATGAAGAGGTGATCTGCAGTTAATAGATGATTTCTTACTTTTCTTTCTTTTTTAATACTGTTATGTCCTCGAGGGCCTGAGCCAGGTAACAATAGTAAGACTGCAAAATAAAAGGCCAAACTGAGTCGTTTGTGACATTAATATTTATTAAAAAGGACGAACTCGCAGAGAAAGCTACACAAACATACGAGCTAAACAAAAGGACACAAACTAAAATATCGAGAAAAAACAAAGAGATGGTTCAACAAACCACAGAAAGAAACTTCTGCCTCCGGCTAACTGCTCAGTAGTAGAAACAGAAACACCACAAACCTCACAGTCAACCCACACGAACAGCTCAACACTGACCAGGCAGCGCTTCATCAGCTCTTACACTTTGTTGTACTTGCTGGGTGGAAGGTTTGTGTGTGGGGGGGCGGGTCAGAGTGAGGATGAGCTTAGAGCTGGAAATCAGACACTTTCTGTTCAGATGATTTAATGAGCAATCATTCAAACAAGCTCATATTTATTATTGAATTACACTCTGGGTGTGTTTACGTGAGTGTTGGGAACTATTTCAGCTTCAGTTTGACATTTTGTGGGACAGCTGTTCGTTATGTTTATGGAATAATCAAATATAAATTTAACACAAACCCAAAAACACTGAAAAGTTTGCAAAGTTTCTACAGTGTTTCCACTTTTCTTCTCTCACTTCTTCCTTCTTCTTCTTCTTGGTCTCCTCTCTGGGCAGACTTTCACTTCCAGCAGCTGAAACATGAACCACACCATGAGCTACAAACACGTTGACACAGAACAATAAACACCTGCATGTGTGTACACCGTCTCAGACGGCTTTGTTGTGCGTCCTGCGTAGTTTCCTCATTAATAAGTTCCTAATATCTGCCCATTGCTTTGTATTACTGATCCCTGTGAGTCCAGCAGTGTCGCTGTTGAGTTCGGTGCTGCTTCCGAGTCCTGCATGTTGGATCATAATGATGCCAGCCACACAGCAACATATGACTGTTAGCCACCTTAAGCTAGCCTGTTACCTTGGTAACATCTGTCTTGTCTTTAGTAATTAGCTTTAAACATGATAAAGTTTGATGGTACCTTCAAGACATTTAGTGAAACATTTCTCTATGAAGAAACGTTTCAGACGATCTCATTGGGAACATAATCCGTAGTTATCAGTAGTAAAAGTTGTAGTCGTCACTAAACCCCCCAAACCTCAGGGACGGGGTTATCCTCTGAGGAGCATGAATATAAAATCCCATCGTTGGTACTTCAGTCTGGACCAAAGCGATGCGCCAACAAACACCAACTCACACCGACAAACTACAAGAAGCACAAAACATGAAGTGTAACAGAGTCAGGTTCAGATGTGCTGTAGTGACCTGTGACGCTGTGATGTGGTCCACTTGTTTCTAAAGCAGCAGAAGATCAGAACAAGGAGAATGAAGGGCAGACTCCTCAGGACGAAGATGACAGGCGATGATGAAGGAGCTGAAATTCACACAAAACAAAGTTCAGCTCTTCATTCGTTGCACTGCAGCAACCAGAATTATTGTCTGAAGGCCAAGAAAACGCCTAAAAGATTCCAGTTCCTAAGTGGATCATTTGCTATACTGGACTTCTTGACTGTCATTCTTTATTCGATCTTTATTGTTATTATTGTGATTTATTTTTATTTTGGTTTTTCTAGTTGAGTTATTACAATGAGAACGGACAGCACCGGGCACAGGAACGAAAGAGAGGTTGGGCGTTACCAGCAGTTTGTTTGATCACCTGCACAGAAAGACAACAAGCAAAAAAGAAAACAGCACAGCGACGACCAACACAGACCAACTGACGTAACAGTAAATAATAAATACTGAATGTTACTGAGCAGCACGCAGGACTGATAGAGCATAGGTGTCAAACTCTGGCCCGCGGGCCAAATTTGGCCCGCAGCCTAATTATATTTGGCCCGCGAAGCCATACCAAATTACTATTAGAGCTGGCCTACTGGTATTATACAGCTAATATATATATTGTTTAGTATTAAGCTTTGCTTGTTCCATATTCAGTTTTTCAGCAAAACCTGTTTGAGTCCATAAGAAAAGATTCATTCTTATATCTGGAGGAAGATTTTTTTTTTCATAAATATTAAGCCCGCGACTTTGTTCCAGTTTTGAATTTTGGCCCACTGTGTATTTGAGTTTGACACCCCTGGTTTAGAGGCTCAGCCAACCAAGACAGAGTGTCTGTGAGTACCTGTGTGTGAGCGCGCTTATGTTCGTAAGATTCCTCCATGTAGGTGTCTAATAGTCCCCGCCCCCCAGGTCATGAAGCAGGCACGGAGGAGACCTGGCCCCCAGAGAACGACTGCCCAAGAAGAACCACCTAGAAAGGAGCTGAGGAGAGCTCTGGATGGGAGTCACCGAGCAACCATGATGCAGAAGCTGCATCGATGAGCCTGCAGTCTCTGCTGGCAGCCAGTTATGCTAGAGTGACCTTAGCCCCCGGGCCCAGAGACCTGAGGTCCGAGGTCCCTCCACGCCCCAGAAGGTGCCCTACCGAGCCATGTAGCCAACAAACCTCTGCCAGATAACAGCTGGAGTCAGCACGGCCCGTTCACAACCCACAAAACATGTATTTAAAATTGAGATGTGGGCACCGGCGCCAGAGATGACAGATGTCTGCCCACCCCCAAGGCACAGTCGCAACTGAAGTTAATGTGATGTCACAAGTGTGCACCACTGCCCTCTGTGGGAGACGCTCCACAGAGGGCAGTGTCCATGCTCACACTGAGACGGACCTCATGTCTTTACCTCCCTAACTCAGAGTAATGTTATGGCTCGACTCATGTATGATAAGACAGCAGCCGAGCTTTGTAACGTTGGTGAAGAGTGTGTTCATTAAAGGATGAGCACTGTGGAGTTTCCAGTACCAGTGTGGTCGTGAGTGCGTCGCCTCCTCTCAACCACTGAGTCTAACCCACGTTACAGTGTGTCAGCTCTTCATTCGTTCTTTATCATCACCGTAGTTTCACTACAACAAATGTGTGACAGCGTTTAACCTGTAAAAGACGACATTCACATATTTTGGAGGCGCGTTGGTCACCAAACTGAACCTGTTCACTTACTGGAGTCTGTGTGGTTGTTGTTGTTCATCGTCTTCTCTCCGACTGTGATGATGGTCCCATTTCCTGTAGCCTCAGTTAAAGATGGAATCTCCACAGTCACTTTACAGATGTATGATCCTGAATCCTCTGTTCTGATGTTTGAAATGTTCAAAGGTGAGCAGGTCTTTGCCTCCTTTTTCAGAGACCCGTGAGATTGATTTAATTTGGCCTCGCTCTTAATGACTGTTTGATTTTTCAGCCAGTTCACTCTGAATCTTTCAAACGTTCCTGCCCAGCAGCAGGTGATGTTTACTGTCTCTCCCTCCATGACAGAAACATCTGGACTCTGGGTCACAACAAACATGCCAGACGAAACAGCTGCAAGAGACACAAACCTGTGAGTTATTATCATAAATAAAGGCGCCATGGTCAGGTTTTCTTTTACACAGATCATTTCACCACATGAAAAACATCACACCCAGACTTACAGACATTAAGTCATCACTCACGACCAAAGAAATCGATGAGAAAGAAATTTCAGAAACAACTTAGCTTTGGAGTTTTCAGTGTAATGAGATAAATACGATATTAAATCAATAAGCTGTGTTTCTACTCACGCCAACATGAGGTGCAGACAGAGGTGAAAAGCAGGCTTCTTAGTAAGAGCTTGATGTTCTCACACCTTTTCATCACCGTTGCTTCATCTCTCACAGCTCCTCTGTGGAGACCCACAGCTTCTGTTCCTCCCTCAGACAGCACTCAGCTGTAGAGAAGTTGTGGTTTAGACCACACACCTCTGTCTTCTCACGGCTGATGAAGGCGATTCAAAAACCCACTTTTATATATATATAAGTATAACATCAGAAAAGAATGAGTGCAAATATATTTATGCTAAAAAAGCCTGATAAAAGCTGACTTTGAGTTGGCCTTTGTATCATACAGATGTGGTTTCCGCTCTGACACAGCGAGCTCCACAGCGGCACCTGCTGGCCACTTTTAGCGACACAGACAATGCAGCGTTCTGAACAAGACTACTCGTTATACTAGATTATCAATCATTGTGATCAACACGTGTTGGATCCCAAAGAAAGAAAGCGCTGAGATGGGGAACAGCGATGTCCAGATGAAGCCTTGAAGCTTTCAACTGCTTCCAAATAAAAACGGTGTTTGTTCTGGAGATGTGCACACATCGCCCCCTGCTGGGCAAAACATTTACTGTCATTTGAACCATTTGTGATGGACTCCTGGTTCTGTTGTACCAGTATGAGTACAGGAATGGTCGCTGCCTTAAAACCACCTTAAAACCAGTATAGGAAGAAGGAAAGCCAGCGGAGGCTTTGGGGAATGTCCTCGAGTGGTTCAGATTTTATTTGTGAAGAAGTTCATGAAGTCATGCTTAACTCCACAGAGCTCTGGCTCTTTGTCGGCCTGGCCACAGAGCTGAAGAGAAACCTGGGATAATTATTTTTTTTGTGATCAGTGATTTATAATAAGATGTTCTAGTTTTATGGAGAGCTTTTTTATAGAGCAACAAACTCTTCCTATTACCTGCTGCTCTATAAAAGCAACAGAAAACAGATTTCATTGATAAATTAAAGTCAACAGAAAGAACTTTGTATGAAAATGGAACATTGTTTGAATTTACGTCAGTTGTCACCACAACCCAGCAGAGTTTGTTTAGTTCTCTTTTGGGACTTCTGCATATTTGATGAAGCTGAAATCTGTGGTTAGTTTTCATAAAGGGACATTTGTGTAAACCTCTCCCACACAGGCCTTTTTCAAACACATGTTTTAAAACAGATAACTTGTAAGGTGGACAGAAATGGCATCTCACTAATTTAGATTTTGTTCATTCAGCCTAGAAAAGAAATTTGCTGCTTTATTCATAAGAAAAGTTGGGAATCCAAATCTATAAATGTAAAGAAACAGCTTTAGTGAAGGTTACAAATGATCTTCTTATGGCCTCTGACAGTGGACTCATCTCTGTGCTTGTCCTGCTAGACCTCAGTGCAGCGTTCGATACTGTCGACCATAATATCCTATTAGAGCGATTAGAACATGCTGTAGGTATTACAGGTACTGCGCTGCAGTGGTTTGTATCATATCTATCTAATAGACTCCAGTTTGTGCATGTAAATGGAGAGTCCTCTTCACACACTGAGGTTAATTATGGAGTTCCACAGGGTTCAGTGCTAGGACCAATTCTGTTTACATTATACATGCTTCCCTTAGGCACAGGTGTGTCCAACTCCAGGCCTCGAGGGCCGGTGTCCTGCAGGTTTTAGATGTGTCCTTGATCCAACACAGCTGATTTAAATTGCTAAATTACCTCCTCAGTTCTGCAGAGGCCTGGTAATGAACTAATCATTTGATTCATGTGTGTTGACCCAGGGTGAGATCTAAAACCTGCCCTAGACGACCCCTGCCTTAGGCAGTATCATTAGAAGACATAGCATACATTTTCACTGCTATGCAGATGACACCCAGCTCTATCTGTCCACGAAGATAGCACATATCAATTACTTAAGGTGTGTGAAAGTCTTAAAGATATAAAGACCTGGATGACCTGTAATTTCCTAGTTCTGAATTCAGACAGAACTGAGGTCATTGCACATGACCCTAAATGTCTTAGAAACTTGGTTTCTAATCAGATATTTCTTGGTTCATGCATGAATTGATTCTATGCTTGAGTATTTTGAGGTTGTTGTTTTATCATTTTACCATATTAGAGAAGCTACTGTGTGAACATTGGATTGTCACACTAAAACCTCATGGTTGCAAAACTAGCAGTGGAAACAGAAACAGCAGCTACACGGTTCTTTCAATTGTAATTTGATTAAATTCACTTCAGTTCATTAAACTTGATTTGAATTTAACTGAACTGAATTGACAATGTTGCGTAGAGATCAGGGGCAGAACCCCTGGACCAGACAGGGTGTGTTCCAACTACAGGGAACTCACACTCCTCCTTCCTAGTGGGTGATGGGATCCTCCATGCTGCCCTTTGTCACCGATTCTGTTTGTAATTTTTATGGACAGAATTTGTAGGCGTAGCCAAGTGGCTGCTTTCTGCGGATGATGTGGTTCTGTTGGCTTCATCAGGTGAAGGCCTCCAGCGCGCATTGGAACGGTTCGCAGCCGAGTGTGAAGCAGCGGGAATGAAGATCAGCACCTCCAAATCTGAGGCCATGGTTCTCAGCCGGAAAAGGGTGGAGTGCCCACTCCGGGTCGGGGATGAGTTCCTGCCCCAAGTGGAGGAGTTCAAGTATCTCGGGGTCTTGTTCGCGAGTGATGGGAGAAGGGAGCCGGAGATCGACAGACGGATTGGGGCTGCAGCTGCAGTAATGCGGACGCTGCACCGGTCCGTCGTGGTGAAGAGGGAGCTGAGTGTAAAAGCGAAGCTCTCAATTTACCGGTCGATCTACGTCCCTACCCTCACCTATGGCCACGAGCTGTGGGTAGTGACCGAAAGAACGAGATCGCGGATACAAGCGGCGGAAATGAGCTTCCTCCGAAGGGTGGCTGGCCTCTCCCTTAGAGATAGGGTGAGAAGTTCGGCCATCCGGGAGGGGCTCAGAGTAGAGCCGCTGCTGCTCCACATCGAAAGGAGCCAGAGGTAATTCCAGAATTGCATATTCATCCAGGAAGGACTTTAGTTGGGTAGTTTAGATAAAGAAGGCATCATAGAGAAGTTTGACAAAACAGAACAGTTTACATGTTTTCATCAAGAAATGGACAACCCACCCACCCATCCATCCATCCATCCATCGCACGGCAGCGCCTTGCAGGAACGCACAGTTTAGTAACAAAGTCAGTTAAAACAGGTCAGAAAACACTGCATCACCAGTTTCCAAGTTGATGACGGATACAACAAGATCCAAAGTGTGCACATGTTCCTCAGAAGAACTATCTACTGATTGAAATAGATTAAAAGAGTCCACTAAATCTAAAGAGTCCTTCACCAGAGGCTTCTTAGGACAACAAATGTGGATATTAAAGTTCCCGACAATTAAAACTTTGTCACATCTTAGCACAATTTCCCCCTAGAGATCACTCAAGAAGTCACTTGAACACAGTCGCTAATCCCATGGGGATTTAAAAAACAAAGAGTCACATGGTCACAGTTCTCAGAAGGTTCTGGACTCACCAGGAGACATCCAGGATTCAGTAATGATTGATCTGGCATTCACCAGACCCATCCAGAGGGCAAATACATCCAAAACAGCAGAGGTGAGGGGAATGCACACCCGATGCCACAAGTTCTGGAGATGTGCTGCTCACCAGCGCAGGTGTAGTGGGTAGGAGCGTGGAGGTAGAATCGCTGGATACCAGTCAAAGACAGGTACCAGCCAGGAGTTCACCGGATCCAACTAGCACCACGACGCAAGGATTTCTTTTGGGCCAGGATAGCTATGACTTCACAGTCAGAGCTGCTGTCTGTCACACTTCATCCAGGGAGGTGATCCTGGAGGTTGGTAGATGAAAACCAGTATCCCTGTCATAGTCTGTGTGCAGGCAGGCAGGAAAAGGACCCAAGTGCAGGACTCTTGGAGGCAAAAGTGAACCTAAAAAACCCTCAGCTTTATTGCTGGCCAAAATACAAAACTGAAATAACAAAGGAACGGAGCACACCGGCAGAAATGGTGGTACGACATGACAACGACCACTGAAGGACACACAGTATAAATACAGACAGGAACACAGGGGAACGAGGAGCAGGTCAGGAAACACAAGGCACAGACCTTCAAAGTAAAACAGGAAATCCATAGACAAAACTCAGAGGCACTGAACTAAACTTATTTTACACACTAGAGATAACAAATTAAAATAATAATACAGAAAACATTGAGTCACCGACCCAGGGCTGTGACAATCCAAGAATGGGATGGAACAATCTGGCCCCTCATGGTGGAACTGTACTAGTTTGACAGCAGACAGATGAAGCTCCAGAGCTGTTTGCCAATCGTACACCAGCAGAGACTTCACATTTTGCAGGCCACACAGAAACAACAACAAAACGCAAAGTGGAGAGGGGACGCCATGGTAGAAAGCACGTGTTACACGTGGTGTCATCTTTACTGCAGTTGTTCAGGTCAGAGAATTTATGTGATCAAATTCTGTGATGATACAGCCCGAAGAGCTTAGAACACGGGTGTCAAACTCCAGGCCTCGAGGGCCGGTGTCCTGCAGGGTTTATATCTCACCCCAGGCCAACACACCTGAATCACATGATCAGTTCATTACCAGGCTTCTGGAGAGCTTCAAGATATGCTGACGAGGTCATTTAGCCATGTGAATCAGCTGCGTTGGAGCAGGACACATCTAAAGCCTGCAGGACGCCGGCCCTCGAGGCCTGGAGTTGGACACCGTGGCTTAGAAAGAGAGCAAAACATGTTCCAGAATGTAAAAACTGTGTTTAGCTGACTTTCTGCACTCACAGGACACTTTAGCTGATGAAACTATTAACACATGGTGTGTTACTACGATGTCTTCATGCAGGGATGTAACTGTGAGGTTAGGGGTGAGGAACCAGGCGTGTGGAAATACACTTTACTTGACGCACTTTTTTTCACCCCTCAGACTGGTGAAGTGTTGTGAGGAGGAAACAAATAACTGATTGTGATGTAGAGGTGAGACAGAAACGCCAACATGAGCTATACTAAGCTATCGACGTGCTCCAGGATTCCTATTTATGATGAAAATCCAGAAAACATGGGTAAGTGAAGTTATCCTACTCAGGGTGGAGGATCACTGGGTGGAGTTTAGTTTGATATTTGGGATAGTAATTAATTCCTGAAACAAACCAGCAGCAGCTCATCTGGACAGATGTTTGGTTCTGAGATGTTAGATTGTTCCTTTATGTTCGGTTTGAAGCCTGATTAGTACTGAGCAGCATTTAGAGACGTTTTCACTGGAGACGAATGCAGTGACTGAGCGAGCTGCTGTAGACGAGGGAAGTTTATTTAGAATCAGAATCGCTTTATTAATCCTGAAGGAAATTATGGGTTACAGCAGGCAGCACGCTAATGGTGCATGCACACTTACAAAGGAACCCTCTGAACAAACTTTACACAAACATCAGACTGGGAGACGTCAGAGAGGTAGGCTGACAGGAAAAAAACAACGAAAATACATAACATGAGGTGAGAGGAGGAGAAAAACACTCCACTCACACTGAGCTCCTAGTGGGAGAACAGAAAAAACACCCCAGCTCAAAAAGCACATGACTGTCAATATACCCCAGAGACACAAGACAGCAACAGGGGCGGGTAAAGGTGAGAGCCGGTGTAGACGGTGCGTCCGGTCCTGCAGCATGTCTGCGCTGGTCCAGTCGACCGCCATCTGCCCGGGAGGAGACAAGCATCGAAGGCGTTTGGAACGGGAGGGGGGATGAGTGTGTATCAGTGTGTGTGTCCTGAGTTCAGCTGAGACCGTGTCCTTCGCCCTGCCAGGCTAAGTAAACAGTCCTCCAGCCGACCCAGGTGGCCTTGCGTCGGGGAGGAACAGACTAAACACCGTCGTTATCAGGGTGAATTTGTTTTGTTCAGCCTTGAGGCCGATATGGCTGCATGGAGAGCACGGTGACTGAATGCCTCATCAGCCTGTTTAGTTTCAGATCTGTGTGTTACCATTAATGATCTCATATATATTTGGACAGAAGCCATTTAATGATTCATGAACAATTCCTTTAAATTCAACATGTATTCTGATGATAACATTACATTTAACACAAGTTCACATCGATCCATATGAGGACTCGACCGGCTCTCTTCAAACTCTGTCAGCATGCTTAACTAACCATAACTCTGATAGTGTTTGGGACCAATACAAACAGCACTGCAGAATTATTTCTACAAGAAACGAAAGCATAAATCAGCTTCTCAGTATCTTGCTGAGGTACAAAATCTGTCAGTTAATTTATATTTCTGTGATGTCAAAACGATGCTTCAGTGCCCTAAATTCAAAATGTCAAACTATATATAGCAACAAAATTTGTGACTGATAAAACTGAACCTACTGAAAAATTGATAAAAAGAGTTCATCTCTCCAAGTGAGACCTTTAAACAGAGCTGCACCAACCTTTGCAAGCAGATGTAGACAAGAAGTTAAGAAGGTAGAATTTTGTGGAATCGACTCTGGAGTTTCTATTCTCAGTTACAAATAAACCAGCCAGTTAAGAGAAGTAAACTGAACCGTGTATTGTGTGTTCAGCCCTGTGATTTGGAGCAGCTCTCATTTCTAGAAATCTGCTGAAATGTATTAAGCTTCCCAAAAACATGACTCTTCAGAGTTGGGACCAGGAAGCAGAGTTGCAGTCGCCTCTCTGCAGCTTCTCTCCTCCTGTTACCCCCAAACCCCGTCCCGTCAGGGCAGGGGTGTCCAACTCGAGTCCTGCAGAGGTACCGTCCTGCAGCTTTTAGACACATTCTTGTTCTGACACACCTGAATCACATTAATAGCTTGTTGCCAGGTCTTTGCCAAACAAGAGGTAATCCAACCATTTGATTCAGCTGTGTTATAGAGATGCATCAAAAAGCAGCAGGACCGCAGCTCTGCAGGACTGTGTCAGCTCGCACACCTAAAAAAAAACGAAACCAAAAAAACTGCAAAAACATTAAAAAATACCAAAAAAATCACAAAGAAAGAAAAATATAACGTCCTGCACCAAGTGATAAAACAGTGAAATATGGATTATTGCATCAGGCCTCTCTCTTCTAAATGGTGTTGGCTCTTTCTGTGGTAGTGGGTCACTTCCTGTTACAGCACACAGTGGTGTTTTTGTAGCCATTTCAATGAAAAACGTACTGATAACTTCTTATTTCATAGTGTAATCATCACATACTTTTTTCCAAAGCACAGTCTCTGTTGATTCGCTCTGTTTTAGGGATTCACTATGTTAGTTTATCTTGTAGCAGACTTGCTAGCAGCTTGGCCTCTTCATTGGTCCCTCCTGCACTTTTGACACCCCTGAGTCAACTATCAGACTCTTCCAATCACAGGATGAGGAGGAGGAATGGCAACAATCCTAAGACCGGTGTTTACCAATCTATATTTCACTTCAGAGAAATCACACCACCAAAAAAACTCTGGATCATCTGGATCAGAGTTTTCTCAGACTGACTTTTTCTTTTCAAATATTTATCTATTGCCATTACGTGCTGCGCTCTCTCACAGCATGACTATTATTTCATTTCTCTTTCATCTTCTTCTGTTTTACTGGCAGTTTGCAACCCATTTAATTAAAGCAGGTGGTTGTACTGCCCTCTAGTGGAGGGATTAAGTTCAGATGAGGATTTATTGGCAAGGCTCAATGGCCCGAGAAGAGGGATTGGGCTCAAGCACAGAACCAAAACCGGAGGCTGAATGACTTTTAACAATTTTTTTATGTGTTTAGTTTTTAGAAAAATTACTTAAAAGCAACATTTTTAATGTAAAACAATATCCACGTCTGACCAAATGCAGCATATCTGCTTTAAAGGGTTTAACAGCTTTTCGATTAAACATTTTGGGTTCAAAAGATGAGAAGTGACCCACATCAGGGTTGAGACTGAGAGATCGATGAATTTGAAGTAATAACTGTATTTGAAGTGAGTGATCATGACCGGCTAATTCTCACTGACGTTCTTCCAACAGGTGAGCTGAGGATCGTCCTGTATGGACAGAGTGGACAGGGTAAAAGTACTCTAGGAGGCATCATCCTGGGCAACAGAGAAATATTCACTTCTGATAAGGACTCAAAGAAGTGCCGTAAGGAAAGAAAGACCATCACGGGTCGAGACGTGGTTGTTGTTGACACTCCAGGTCTGTTTAAAGTAGATGATGATGGAGAGGAAGTGGTGGAAGAGATCAAGCGGTCCATCAAACATGCTGAACCTGGTCCTCATGTCTTCCTGTTCGTGGAGAGGTTTAAAGAGATCTCACAAGAGAAATTAGACGCACTGAAGACTTTTCAGGACACGTTTGGTAAACAGGCAGTGGACTACACTATAGTGGTGTTCACCACTAAAAGGAAGGAAATCGACGCCGCTTTCATGCAGGAAACACTGAAATCCCTCAGAAGATTAACCGATCAGTTCCAGCAAAGATACTTTGTTTTTAACATTAGAGACGAACAACAAGGGTCTCAACTCGACGAGCTGCTGGGGATTATGAACAAGATGACGGGAGAAAAATGTCAACCTTTCTACACGTCTAAGATGCTCCAGGAGGCTGAGGAAGCTCTGAAAACACGAAAGGAAACAAAACCAAAGCCAGAAGAAGAGTGGCGCTCTTTTTATGACCGGTGTGGTTTGATTGGAATGGCTGTCGGCTGTGCAGCAGGGTATTTTATTTGTGGTGGCGAGCTGACGCCTACAACAGGAGCTGGGGTTGGAGCTGTAGTTGGTATGATGCTGTTCGTGGGAATAGCGTTTTTAGGTGTACTTGCTAAAATTAAACTTCAGGCATGATGCAGATAGATTTCAGACGGCGTCAGTGATTTTGTTGCTTACGCTGATCTGACCAAATCTAGTCTAGAAACCATAAAGATGTATGTTTAGGTATTTTACTTTATTTTTGAGTAAAGTTCTTTATTCTAAAAGTTATTTGTTCAGTCGGCTGCTGACTGGTTGAGCTTTTCAAAACGAGTTAAACGCAGTTAAATGTTCTATTCCAGGAACAGTTCATAAGACAGAACCAGCGATTTGCAGCATAAACAACTAAATATTTTCTAGTTACTGCTGTTGCTTCAGTGTACGTGCAGGGAGAGGGTTCAGCCTGGGTTTGCTTGAGACACACGTCAATAAATAAGCAACAAGATGCTTCAAATAATATTTCTCAAATTTTGGCTTTCACAGTCTTTCCTTTTGGGAGTCTGAAGCAGTTAAAATAGGATAAAAATAGGTGGACGTGAATCAAAGCCCTTTTACAGGACTGTTTCCTGATCCCAACTCTGGCAGAACTTTGACGGCATACTGAGGGAGGCTGGGAGTCCGAGCGGACGGTTGGTGCCTATTGTAGTGTTAATCCCCAAACCAGATGGTGTGCACCGAAGGTGAAGGGAGCCATCAAGCCGAAGGATCCTGTTGGGCTTGGGGACTTGGAGGCAGCTGCACATACTGGCAGAACAAGCAGAACAAGGCTCGGTCAGTGGCTGAACCAAAAACTGGATGCTGGAAGATTTCAGTTGGGCCACAGAACAAGACTTTCGACTTTCTTTGCGTGTCTTGAAGCATTTATAGCAAACCGTCAGTCGACTAAAAAGGGGAAAGCAGTGCTCTGCTCACACAGTGTATAGCAGGATAGGATGGTGTTAACCGCAACTGAGGGTAAAGTCGGGCAGTTGAAGGAATGCTTTGAGGACCTCCGTAGTATCCCCAGTCTGGGGATAAGGGGGATAACTCGCCCCTCGCTGGTCACTGAGATAGTCAAACATCTCCACTGAGGTGACCAAGACTCAGGTCCTAATGGCTCTGGATGTTATAGGACTCTTGGTTGATATGCCTTCGCACATGGAGATCTGAGGGGGTGTCTCTGGGCTGGCAGGCTGGGGTGCTGCAACCACAGGGAGATCGCACACCTCAACCTCCCTGGGATCTAAGACTGGGAACTGGAAAACAGAGCTTGTTCATTAATCAAAGCTACATACAGAATACAGGAAGACTGTACGCCCCCTGGGTGAGGTGAGCAGACCCAGAACACGCTGAAGAGTTTCCATCTCTGGATGAGATCGATTAGGTGGCTGGAGAAAGGTGCTTCAACTTTCACATGCTGTAAAAAAGTTTGGTGTTGTAAACATAATCCATTACCTGTATTCTAATGCATGTAAGACAGCATTTCTACTCACATACACATGTAATCCAGTATTTGTACTCTTGTATCAGTATATGTTAGAGCATGTTCTGTAGTCCAGAGCATGAGCACATATAACACAGTCACATCTGTCCTGATGTTCACCCACAGGCTCGTGCTGAGGAGTTTGGTAAACAGTCTGAATGATGTCTGACTGTTATTGTTATTGTGTTGTATTAAGTACCAGCTCTGCTTTGGATTTTGTGCCTGAACTTGTTGTGCAGGAAGTCCTGACCTTGTGCCTTTGAGCAGCAAACACATGTGAACATGCAGACAGACAGTGGGACGTGTCTGCAGACGTCTCCCTGTGTTAGCAGAGGAACATGTCCGTCTCATAGATGGACCGAGATCAGAGGTCAAAGGTCATTCTCCTGTACATGTCGGACTTGTTTCACTTGTGGCCTTTGTATAACCTCGTGCATGTAATAAAACAGAAGCAGGTTCTTGATAACCTGCTGAAAGACAGACGTCTTCTTCTCTTTGTGTCCTGATAGTCTCTGAGCTCCAGGAGCTCTCCACAGGAGAACGCTCTCAGATGTCCTCCTCTGGGAGATTGGACGGGCTGACCTGTATCGTTCACAGCTCAGAGTGCTGCTATGGAAGCACCTCAACCTGGTTCTAGGATCTGGTTTGGAGGTGTGGGTGGGGGGGATAGGGGCTCTCTACAGTCTAGAACTTTCCATGTTTCTCTTGAATGTGCTGCTGCTACCACTCAGTAAAAGAACCCCACTGATAATTGATAATTATGGACCTTTTTTCTTTCATCCCTCATCAACATATTTGAAAAAATGTTTATAAACAACTGAATGAATATTTTTAACTTGTAGACCTTACGATAAGAACCAATCACAGCACAGAGAGAGCTCTGAGGATCAGCAGTGACTCACCGACAGTTTCAGTTTCAGTTCTTGTTGATCTCACTGCTGCGTTTGAAACTGTTGACGTGATGATCAAAATGATTGTTTATTTTAGTATTTTCATGCATTATAAGCCATAAAATCCTCTCTGCACTGTTACAAACCCTTCGTACACTCTTAAACACACTTTAGAGACAAATCTTAGATATTCAGTGAAGAGTCATCACCTGAGTAATATGGCATCTGTGAAGCCTCTTAAATGTGTGAATAAATGAGAATACCTTGGTGCATAGACTGGATCAGTGCTGTGCTGTTCAGCTATAACATGGTATTTATATTGTTGTTAATGTTTTAGACTAGAAGATGCTTATTGCACCACAAAAATGATTAAATTCCAACAACATTCAAATAGCCATAGGCAGCATAATAATAGATTTCACACAATATAAATTCACTGATAAATCTGTGGTGGCCTCCAAAGGCGAACCGCGATGTTGCGTGGGAGTACTGCACGTCGTGCTGCTGAGCTGCATCGATGAGATGAACTGCTTGGCGTCTGTTTTCAGAGCTGAGCAGAGACAACATGGGAACATTTTTGTTGTTCCAAAATGTCAGAAACAGATTTGTTCATAGTTGTCATCCTTTTCTCTGAAACTCAGGGAGCGAGTCGGAACTTCGGTATCATTTTGACAGTGATCTCAGTTTTGATTTTTACATCAATAAGGCCACCAGACTGGCTTTACATTACTTAAACTATAAAAGGATATATATATATATATATATATA